TTACACTGTATATGAATAAAAACAAAAGCAAAACTTTTCTTTACCGACACATTTTGTGCGCTTTGTTGAAATTGAAATTTTACATACATGCATACATACATACACACATTACATACATACATATATACATTCATTACATGAATATATCAACGCCGACTTACCAACGCCGACATATCGACGATATATGAGAGACACTGTCTCGATTTAGTGAATAAAGAAAGCGTGAATAACAATAAGAAACATTACCAGAAAAAAGCGAAGAAAAGATAGAAAGAACGTAGCGTTCGAGAAAACACTAATGCTCTCATACATTTCATTCTTGCATCAGTGAAATTCTCAATTTTGAATCTTTTCATATGTACACTATAAATTCTTTAAATAATTATCTGCATTCTTATGATTATAACTGCGATATATTGTTAACGTTTTGAAGCATTTAAAAAACAAATGCATAAATATTTTCCGGTTGCATTTTGACAAATATTTAACGATCTAGTAATGGGATTTCTGCATGTATCGTTGGGGAACAGGAAATATTAATCAGAAAACAGTAAACAAGAAATGAGTGAATGCTTTACGGGAACCGCTCGTCCATTCTACTGTTTACATCAGGAGCACCTCGAAAAGATCCAAAGAAGAATCATACTTATTATAAAACCCAGGTTGTGTGTGTGCGTGTCTATTCGTTTATATATTGGATCGGATTTCCTACATTTTTCAACCGATTTTAACAAAACTTCACAGGACTACGTAAAATTACCTTGCGGTGGTTCTGAAAGCACCGAAAATTGGAAAAACACAATTGTTTTTGCATGAAATCAATTTGAAAACAAGATTAAGAGTCATCGCTCATGCGAGAATGAAAGGGGGACAACCCATATCGAGTTATACTTATTATAAAAACCCAGGTTGTTTGTGTGTGTGTGTGTGTGTGTGTGTGTGTGTGTGTGTGTGTGTTCGTTTATATATGGGATCTGATTTCCTACATTTTTCAACCGATTTCAACAAAACTTCACTTTTTTTGGCAGGTAGTGTTTCTTATTGTCTTGCATACTTTTTTCTTTATTTTTACATTCAGAATGCCTTAAACATTCCATTTACAAAGCAATTGTTTAAAATTCTATTCAATCGGTAGACTCATAACGATTGAAAACAATGTTTTCGTTTGAGTTTGTGTTTGACCAATTCTTAACCCCCACCCAAAAAAAAACAAAACAAAAACTAATTAAGACATGCGTGTCCGTCAACCTTAAACAATAATCTTTGGCAATTTTATTTTTCACTCTTTATGATGGTCGATAATTGATCTATCTCTTACTGTTACATCTCCGGGCAACGCCGGGCTCTACTGTTAGTCAGTAATATAATTGGTTCTCATCTGACGGCTCGGTTTCGATCACTTGCCAACGCCGCGAGGTTGCCTCTCTGTACCTTTTTTTTTATAAATATTTTCCTTTGTAATTGTTCGAATGAACTCTTTGCTGTGGTACCTAGACTTTGAATTTCAGCGCAATACTAAATTGTCGAAATGATAACATCAATTTACAGTTCAGCTATCTAATATCTATGCTAACAGTTGCTTATCTCGCATGTGGAACTCCTTCCCGGTTACAAACATTTAAGAACTTTTTTGCTATGCCCATAGAAGAAACAAAACCCGCTTTACTGACATTCCAAACTGTGAACAAGTTTTCTGCTAGTGGCAAACCAGTTTCAAGCCATCTAGTTCATCAAATGCAGCATATCATTCGTAGGTGAAAACAACATTTACGACATGTCTTCTGATCTTCACTTAATTCAATATCCGTCATGGCTCTCTTTAAAAGTTTGACACTTACTTTAGAAAGACTCGTTATTCCCGCTGCTGCAAACCCTAAGAAATTCATTGTTCGTCAAAGACGAATTTTTAAAAAATAAATTCTCTCTTGATGGAAAAACACAGACCAACAAGATAAAGTATTCAACTTGCCCTTAGCAAGGCCTGCACCGGAGTGGTCCAGCATCTTGAGCTAAGTTCAGTATGAATCGAGACGCCGTTATTTTAACTCAACATTGTATACGCGAAAGCGGAGAATTTTTGTAATGTCATATCGTCGTAATATCGTAAGCCGCTCCAATGCCATTCTTAATTACACTACATTTGTCAACATCAACGAACTGTTGCGAAACACGCTAAGAGTCACTGGTAGAGTAATGAGACTCAAGACAAACAAAGAAATTTCCGAGAGTTACATATTCAGCAGCTGTTTTTAGGAGTTGTTTAGTAAAAAATATACTTGTAGACCGGTTGTAATTTAAAAGAAAAGAACACAATAAAAATTATTTCTCCCAAACTACATAATCAAGAAACCAGTAATCATCAGATTTTGAAATATGAATCACGTGATCATACAGCTCTTTAATGGTACTCGTCCAGATCGACATGACTTGCATTATCTGAAACAATGCATACTTCGACAATATATTTTATACATAAATTCATAGATCGAATACAGATATT